AAGTAAAATAAAATAAAAATGTCAGTGCTTCAGTGTCCCTAGTCATATTTCATGTAATCATCAGATGTATGTGTCTAGTGGCTGCCAAAGTGGACAAGGCAGATACAGAAAATTTCCAGCATTACAGAAAGTTCTATCATGCAATGCTCTGTTGAAAGGTTTACTAGAGCTGTTTCAGAGAAAGATAAGAACTCAAAGAATAAGGAGTAAGAGTTTTGGCAAGAAGTATGGATGACACAAGCTAATATGGTAGAGGTGAAGATTGAAAGAAGTGATATCTAAACATATCTTGAAGATAACAGTTGGTGGGGCTTGTTAATGATTGGATGTGGTGGATGGGGAGGGAGGGAAGGAGAAAGAGAGGGATCAAAGGTCAACGATTAGTGAAGGGAGAATGGAAATTTGGAAGGACAAAAAGAAGCATGAGACAACATGGATATGGGAAAGACAACTGGGATTAGGGATGGGGAGTTATGTGGGGAAGAATAGAGCAAAAACCATGTGTACTCCTGAGGATAACATGCTATGCCTGAAATGTGTGGTAAGATAACCCACTAAACTTTGTGTACCTGAGGACCCTGTTAAAACAAAGAAAGGAAGGGGGAGGAAAAAGGCAAACGTGCAAGCAACTTCTCTTCACTGGCTAAAATGAGGTTCAGGATAATGGTTCTCTCTTTAAATTTTCAGACACTGTTTATCCACAAATATCTATGCAGATGGGCAAATTTTCTCATCACACTTACATGATGCCTTTCCATCATTCACTATATCCTTTTATAAGGTAGTTAATAATATACTCTTATAATTATATGATTTCTGTTCTGAATCTTCAGTTTTACCTAATTCTTTTCTCACACATGTGAATTTTCTATTTACACTTTTTAAATATACTGCAATTCTCCTCTTCTCAGCCTATGAGAGCTCTATTTTTGAAATAAAATATACTCTTGCATGGCTATGTTTCAGTTACTGGTTTTATCCCAGTAAATCTTTGTATTAAGAACATGGCCACAGTTAATCTGAGTTATTACTATGTTATGTGAATTGAACTATCTGCTAACACATCAACTATCAACTTATAACTATGTCTTAAATTCTAGGAATAAATAGATGAAGAAACAAAATTCTCCTCAAAGATTTCCAGCATCTGAAGGGGAGGCAAGCATGTGGGCAAGACAAATAATTAGAGTGTAACACAGGAAAGGTTCTGATGCAAGTATGAACAACAGTAGGAATATGAGGTGTACAACTAATATTTGTCTAGAAAAATATCACAGAAGCTTATAGTGAGGTCCCACATAAGTTGGTAAAGAAACATGACAAGGAAAGAGACATGCAATGACTTCTAAACTCTTTAAGTATTATTCCCACCCTCTTTCCACTGATTCTCTTCTATAAATTCTCCTGGAAAAGTAAGTGATTTCCTTGGAATTCAGTTCAGTCAACCAGTAGAACCCACTTAGCTACTGTAAAACATTTATAGCTATGTTTAAGGATAAATATGTAAAACCAAAATCTTGAAATTCAAAGAAACATATCAAAATTATATTTTCTACTAATTGTATGCAAACTCAATATTCAAGATCTAACATACCTACAATGAAAAGGTAAATTTCATAGGATAGTAAGTAGTTGGCTTGGATTATCCTTTGGTTTGATTGTAGCGCTTTCAAAATTCAGGTGTTGCTGATGTGATAGCATTAAGAGGGGCCTTGAAGTAGTTACTAGGCCATGGGCACTTGTCTTTTATAAATGGGATTAAGGCCCTTATGAAAGAGGTTTCATGCAGCTCTCAGCTGGCTGCCCTTTTGCCTTTGCCATATGAGGACGTGGTGTTCTTCCTGTTCAGAGATTAAAGCTACAAGGTACCATCTTGAAAGTAGAGAGCAGCCCTGCCAGACAACTGAACCTGCCAGCACCTTGTCAACCCTGCTGGCACCTTCATCTTGAACTTCCAGTTTCCAGAATGTGAGAAAATAAATTTCTGTTCTTTGGATATTACCTAGTCTCAGGTATTTTGTTAATGCAGCACAAGTGGCCAAAGACAGGTTGCTCTAACAAAACACTATAAACCAGGTGCTTTAAGTAACAGGCATTTATTTTCTCATAGATCTGGAGACCATAAGTCCAAGATAAAGGAACCAGCAGGGTTGGTGTCAAGTGAGGACTCTTACCCTTGGGTTGCAGACAGCAGAATTCTTATTGTGTGCTTACATGACTCTTTTTATTAGAGCATGATCAAGGAGAGAGAGCGCCAATGTTTCTCCCTCTTAGATAAGGACACCAATTAGTAAAAGCGGGGCCTCACTCTCATGACCTCATTTAAAGCTAATTACCTCCCATAGGGCCCATGTTCTGAACTAGTAGATTTGAGACTCTGTCCCCACTTTGAAGAATGGCAGTATCTTTCCAGCGAAGAATTTGAACCGTAGCTGCACCTGCCTGTTAGCAAAGCTTAATTCAAAACAAAGTCAAGGGCCAGCGCTGTGGCATAGCAGGTAAAGCCGCCACCTGCAGTGCTGGCATCCCATATGGGCACCGGTTCCAGACCTGGCTACTCCACTTCTGATCTATCATCTCTGCTAGATGGCCTGTAAAAGCAGTGGAGGATTTCCCAAGTCCTTGGGCCCCTGCACCCACAGGGGAGACCTGGAAGAAGCTATTGGCTCCTGGCTTAGGATTAGTGCAGCTCTGGCCACTGTGGCCATCTGGGGAGTGAGGCAGAGGATGGAAGACCTTTCTCTCTCTCTCTCTGCCTCTGCCTCTGTGTAACTCTGCCTTTCAAATAAATGAAAAAGTAAATCTTTAAAAATACAAAGAAATCAAATTTAAAAGGAACTAGAACACATCAATATTCTCAAAATCAGTTTTCTTAGGATTTTGTGACTTACATTACTTGATTTATGATATTAAACTATCAAGATAAAACTACCTTAATAATATTGTAATATATTTCATGTTTTTATATCCAGGCTTTAATTTGAAAACTTAAACTGTATGCATGAACATTTTCCACAGGCAAATTTCCTGATAATTTTAAATTAATTACTGCAAATTTCAAATGACCTTTAGTTTTTCTTACCGTTAAAAAAACCTTTACATATTTTCACAGTGCCTTTAGAAATTATAAAATTACATATTATATCTTTACATAAAATGTGGGACACAACTATATCCTTTAGTTTTAATTACAGGAAAAGAACAGACAACTGTAAGGCTTAGCTTTATTGTTTTATAAATGAACCAGTAAAGTTCATTTTAGTGAAATGAGCATACACATCTCATAAATTAAAATAAATCTCACATGCTAAAGCACTCATTTTCAAAATTAATTTAATTACATGTTTAAAGTTTAATTACATTTAATTAAGCATTTAAGTTTAATATGAAATAAATGAATTATCAGTTAGCTACTATGAAATGATATAGTGCTTTGATAATTAAAATCTATAAATTTTCCTATTCTGTGCAAAGAAAATACATATTTCAAAGACTGTTTGACCATATCCTCATAGCTGATCAAGGTAGAATTTTTCTGAACCTAGCTTGGTAGGCTGTACATTTACCTCCAGGTAATGAAGGCAGCATGGTATAGAAAAAAGAGCAGAGGTTTTGGAAACTTGGCTTTGAGTATTAGCGCAGTCACTCAGGCTCTGCAACAATGGGAAAGTTACATTGCAACTCTGACTTCACATTTCCTATAAAATACTTCTTTCATACTCTTAAGAGTTGAGAAAATTAAATGAGATGGAAGGACAAACACCTGGAACATTGCCTGACTAATGTTGATTTCCTTCATTGTTGAATGAATGAACCAAAATTTTGTACTTTTAGGCATAAAAAGTTTCATCTTTAAGATTTCTTCAAATTATGAAAACATAAAATTCTTTTTCATTTAATTATATCATACTTAAATGAATACTTTACATTTTTTTCCCTAAGCACTCCACGAATGGAGGTAGTTTGACATTTCTACAACAGATTTTTGAGTGAGATAAAACTGACTTTGCATCCTTATTTGGGAAAGGGCAGGTAGATACACTCTCAGTCTCTGGATTACTCCCCAAATGCTCACAGTAGCTGAGGTTGGGCTGGGCAGAAGCCAGGGATCAGGGAATTCAGTCCAGATCTCGCAAGTTAGTAGAATGATATAATTAAATGAACTCAATTGCTTGAGCCATCATTGCTGCCTCCCAGGGTCTGCATTAGCAGGATGCTGGAATCAGGAGTGGAAACTAGATACTAATGAGTGACACAGGCATCTTAACAATTAGGCTAAAACCTACTCTTGTAGAACGACTTTGAATCTGGATTCTATAACTTACTATTTGAGAAATTATAGAAAGGTTATTTTGGCCTATTTCCAAAATTTGAATGTGATATGTATGTGTGTAGCATAATCAATATAGTCATTCAAAGTCAGGAAAAAATTAATGATTAAAGTAGGGCAGATGGTATTTGCCCTAACCTCTACCTATAACTTTTTACGTAAGGATACTGTCACTGAATTTAAGAATCAGAAGGAAGAACTATGTACTTGAACCCAGAGTTTATTTTATTCTTTAAGTTACTAGCAGTTTAAACAAGTTGGGTACTTTTAATACTTGATAGTAAAACTTAAACTTGCAGCATTACTTTATGTCATTTTCATTGCTATGGTTAGAAATGAGTATTTATTTGCATTTTGGGCTGACAGAGTCTGATGAACTGTTCCACATTTAAAAACAAGACCAACAGATATTGGAACCAGTCTGGTACCCAGACTTCTCAGGTTGCAAATTACAGTAATAGTGGGTCCAACAGTTACAGATTAAAAAAAAAAAAACACGTAATGAAATATTATGAAACACATATATAATTAAGATTATATATTAAACAGAAAATTAACATTATTAGGAAATATATCCTAAGAAATGCATTCTTTATAAAAAATAAGGTAAAAAGTGATTTCTATTAACCTTTGAAATGAGAATTTGCTATTAAATGGGTCATGAACTTACCAGCATTCTACTTTATCAGCTGAAGACATTTTTTCTGGAAGAAAAAATCCATGCCATTTTGAAGTCTCAATTAGTTCTCGTGGTATCCTTTTTGATACATCATAATAGTGACCAAATCTTGAAGATGTCACTGGTCCAACCTAAGAAAAACCCATATTGGTTGTTAATGAAATTAGGTTTTAAAGTTATAATTCATTTGTCTTAAATCCAGTAAAACAATGATATATTTATATATTTTGATGTTAATAAGGATTATTATATATCATATATATACATATGTAACACATATATGCCCACTAAATTGCTTAGAAATATACATTCATTATTTTAAACTAAATATAATTGAAAATCAAGCATTCCACTTTTCATGTATCTTCATTCCTGTAAGTTTGATATAAATGCAAACACATTTTAATTTCTTTTACTGTACTGTATACTTTCCCACGTTTGAAATTTAGTATACCTAATTCATGATTAATTAAAATCACTATGACTAAATACAAATCAAGCCAAATTAATTCATTGGTGAGAGGCCCAAAAGAAACCAGATATTCAATTATACTAAACAGAATATAATTTTTAAATTAAATTCTTATATGATAATGTATATATATTCAATATTTTTTTTTTTTTGGACAGGCAGAGTTAGACAGTGAGAGAGAGAGAGAGAGACAGAGAGAAGGGTCTTCCTTCCGTTGGTTCACCCCACAAATGGCTGCCATGGCCAGCGCGCTGCGCCAATCTGAAGCCAGGAGCCAGGTGCTTCCTCCTGGTCTTCCATGCCGGTGCAGGGCCCAAGCACTTGGGCTATCCTCCATTGCCTTCCCGACCCATGCAGAAAGCTGGACTGGAAGAGGAGCAACCAGGACAGAACTGGTGCCCCAACAGGGACTAGAACCCAGAGTGCTGACGCTGTAGGCGGAGGATTAACCTAGTGAGCCGCGGTGCTGGCCTTATTCAATATTTCTTAAAATCTTAAAAGTAAGCTTATTGCATAAATAAATGTTACACACTCCAGACAAGGACAAGGCACAGGATAAAGAGGAAGAATGTGTATAAGCTACATCCACCACAACTTGCTATAATCATTTGCTCACTGATAATTCATCTTTAATCCACTGATTTCTCCAATACTTTTTCTCATAAGAAACTCTATTAACTGTAAACACTGAATTTATTTACACAGGATAGTAAAAGGCTACTAGTATAACATAATTATTACACTGCTTTGAATGAACTCTAGACTGATTTCATCAATTTAGCACCTAGAAATATATAAAATTAATAAAATTTTTTTAAAAAGTAACATATATACACCTCTTCCAAAGTTAAACTGTTAACAATTTGCATCTGGCAATAGCTTCTAGTAAAACTCTGATTTAATCTTATAATTTCCACTGTCATGAATACTACAAAACAGACAAGTTACAGAACAGTCAACAAAAAGATCTCTGCAAAAATTGAAGATTCTAAACAGTAAGTTTTTATATTTATTAAATGACAACTTTTAAATTTTGATATGAGACACATATTTAAGACTGCAATGGCTTCTTAAATTATATGCATATACACAATTTATACAGTAACATGGAATAAAATTTTTTTTAATTCTAAAAGAAACATTTTGCTTAGATGCAGTCTAGGTGTTTAACATTCATTTTCTAAATAAAAGGACTATTTATCCCTCCATAAGGTACTACTTATTATCATTAATGAAAGAAATTTAAGTTTGTTATAATGTATTCATTTCAATTCAATATATACAAAATTGTGGTTCCCAAAACATAACGTCCATTTACTAAGAAAATTTATTGACATATGCATTATAGTACATTAAAATATGTTTCCTAAAAATAGGGTATAAAGTTTTTAAATGTGAAGTTATTAGTCTAAAGCAATTTAAACAAGGTCTGTTCTTTGGCCTATAATCTATTCTTTATCCGGATTATAGTTCAGAATGTTTTTACTGCAATTTCTGCTAGAGCTCATCTTTTTATTGTGTAAGTCCAAGCTGCGTTAATGTTTTAGAAAGGCCTTGACTAACTGAACTTTGATCTGATGTCTTCATTGAGAAAAACACCAGGCTGCTCATTTCAGATGCAAATCCCCCTAAGGCCCAATAGAATTTAGTAAAGACTGCAAAAAAGAAGAAACCAGAAGCTTCCAGGATCCTCTTTGAGAATCCTGGGGCACACTGGTGTCCTTAATCCATGCTGCTGCATGGATTAAGGTAGGTGATAACCTTTCCTGATTCAAAAGAATAAGCAGAGTGCCTACAAACTGGGTGGAGACTAGGATTTGGCTATAATAAAACACCATGCAATAAAAGCTTGGTCTATGTCAGAAGCCTCTGAAAAGGCCTCAATGTACCACATTCCCAGGCCTAGTAGGGAAGCTTGCAAAAGCCTACCTGAATCAAATAAGCATGAATAATCTATTTTAGCAGACCGACCATGGGGAGAGAGAAAGAAAGAGAGACTTTTCACTTCTTTTAAGTTTGAGTTAATAAATTTATTAGTGGACTGAAGGTTCTTGAAGTCCCATGCACTCAGAGAAATATGCTAAATTGCCAAGAAGCAAAGTATGCTTTTTAAGTTGCCGTCTCTATTAATGTTTCTAATTACAATATTAATGTGACAGAAATCTCAGATTTGGGAGGAATCAAGGCAGAAAATTGATTTCATGCTGTGACAGTTTACATATGGAACACAAATATTCATTAAAATGTAAAAATAAAATTGGAAGTTTTTTCTTTTTACAATTATTAATTTATCTAGAAATTAAGATTAGATATGACAATCAAAATATTACAAGATGGAAAGGAAAATTTTATCATTGATGAACGACTCCACATTTAAAAAAAAAGCAAATATATTCTCACAGGAAAGTATTTTGCAAGTTTTTTTTCTATCCAATGCATGGTGTTAATAGAAAATCAAATTTTTGAAACACATCTTTTGAGGCCTATAATTATAAAACAAAGACTTAAATATTTTCTTTAAAATGAAAACAAAATGCTGAAAGCATAATAATGATTACCCATAAAACTGTCATCAACTCCATAAATACAGATGCATTGAAAAATACCAAAGTATCATCAATAACTAGTCAGTTTAGTTTTGTGGAACTACATTATTTTAGTTCTAAATTATAACAATTTCTATTTTACATTCATGAACTAATTTTTAACTTTGTTGTCTGTAGAAGAAATAAAATGGAATAGTTTGGTAAAAATTTTCAATGCTAAAAGAAAACAAATTCTCATGGGGCACAAGAGGAAAACAAAACAAAACAAAAATGATACCATACATTATCTCCAGTTTGTTAGAAAGAAACAAAACTTTCAGAGAAAAGCTGTACCACAAATAGTCTACATAAGACATTTTCTTACTACAGTTATCAATTCTTGTTTCTCAACTCTGCATAACAGAATGCAAGAATCCAGTTACCAAACCATATTGAGCCCCAGTTCCATCGTCAGAAACTAGAGCTAATAATTATCTCATTAGACTGCTTTGGGAATCTAAGGCAATACTGGCAACAAATACTTTGTACATTTTGAAATAAAATATAAATGCTATTATTGTTATTGTGCCATGATTCACCAGAGAATCAGAAGATCCATTACTGTCCTTTGTAATTACGATGACTTAGTGAAAAAAAAAAGTCTCTTGTTGGTCATCCACATGCGTACATCTAACATACCTCTGTTGTGGCTGAAGAATGAAAGAGGAAAGCCAAAGAGTAAAGAGAATTAAACATCATGGTACTTCAAAAAGTTCAGAAAACATGCACATTATGAAAGACGATGCTTGATTCTCAAGATTCTTGGCATGAAAATAAATTTATCTTTTAATTTCATTTTTCCACAAACTTCTTGACATAATCTTACATAATAAAGATCTAACATACTGTCAGGAATTGCTGGAGCCATTGTAGCCCATGATAGTAGAGCTCTATAATATTGAAGAAATTAAGTCTCAGAACATACTGAAGGCTAGCAGTTTGTGGAATGAGGAAGGACGAGGGATTGATGACTACACAGAGAAGAAAAGGGCTTTTCTATCCTGAGGAGAGAATAAAACATGGTGAACGAACGGGATGCTTTTGAAAACAATACATTTGTAGAACTGGAATAAATAATGCTTTATGTTTTATTAAGCTATGGGTGTTGGTTAAGGTGAATGATTCATATCCGTTTTTGCATTCTCTAAATGGAAATATGACTACACTCTTAGCATGGAGGTACAACCCATATTAAATGTTACCTCTGAAAACCAATATACCGAGTTTTGGACAACATGTTTACTCCTAAGCCGTAATAGTGTTAACTGAACTTTGTCTCAAGATAAACTCAGAAAACCCATCTTTTTGTTTGTTTTAATGTTTTAGCCTAGTTATGGCGAAGTAAGACCTAGATTTATAAAGTAGATGGTGATGACTAATCACCAAAGACTATCAATCTTGGCAAGTCATCACATATAAAACTGACAAAACAAGGAAATACACATGCTAGTGACACTTCAAAGAAAAGCAGTGAAGTTAGAGGATGATTCTGCTTCATAAAATTGACAACTCACTTGCAAATACAAGTCAACTTAAAGTTTGACCAATGACTGTAAATTCAAAATAGGCTCTTATTTATATGAATATAACTTAACTCAGTTTAACATGTTTTTTATTACATTCATGCATCTAAGAAATAACTGTTGAGCACTCACTATATGCCAGCAAAATAAAACGAAGTTCTTTCTCTTGCTGAGTTTATATTCTATTAGGAAGAAATATAGATGAGAAGTAATTATATATATACATGCTAATATGTATTTTACCTGCTGGCTTTAATAGTTTTTAGATGTGCTGAAGAAAAATAAAGCTGAAAAGAGATGACAGAGATGAGGAATAGGTCTATTTTATATAGAATGACAATAAAGTCATCTTGATAAAGCAATACTTCAGCAGGGATCTGAAAAAAATGGGAAAATGCTATTCAATATACTTCTGGAAGTTTCAGTCAAAGCCATTAGGGAAGAAAAAGAAGTCAAAGAGATACAAATTGGAAAGTAGGAGGAAGTCAAATCATCCCAGTTCAAAGATCACATGATCTTATATAGCGGTGAACCGAAAGACTACAACAGGAGACTACTGGAACTCATAAGAGAGTTTGGTAAAGATTCAGGATATAAAATCAAAACATAAAAATCAAGAGCATTTGTATACACAAACAGTGCATAGCTGAGAAAGAACTTGTAAGATCAGTCCCATTAACAAGAGCTACAGAAAATTTTAAATACCTTGTAATAAATTTAACCACGGAGGTAAAAGACCTCTATGATGAAAATTACAAAATACTGAAGAGAGAAATAGAGGGGGCCAGCGCTGTTGCCTGCAGTGCCGGCAGCTGATATGGGCTCTGGTTCAAGTCTTGGCTGCTCTACTTCTGATCCAGCTCTCTGCCATGGCTTAGGAAAGCAGTAGAAGATGGCCCAGGTCCTTGTGCCTTGCATACATGTGGGAGATCCAGAAGAAGCTCCTGGATTCTAGCTTCGGATCGGTGAAGCTTTGCCCTTGCGGCCATTTGGGGAGTGAACCAGTGGACCTCTCCCTCTCTCTGCCTCTCCTTCCCTCTCTGTGTAACTCTGACTTTCAAATAAATCTTTTTTTAAAAAAGAGAGAGAAATAGAAAGACACATAAAGAATCAGCAAAATCTTCCATGTTTGTGCATTGGAAGAATTAAAAGCATCAGAATGTCCACACTATCCAAAGTAATTTACAGATTCAATGAGATTCCAATCAAAATACATTCTTCTCAAATCTAGAAAAAAAATGCCAAAATTGATATCGAAACAAAAAAGACCCTAAAGTAATATCAAAAAACAAAAACAAAGTTGGAGGCATCAAATACCAGAATTTAAGACATATCACAGACAGTCATTATAATGAAAACAGCTTGGTGCTGACACAAGAATAGACATGTAGAGCAATGGAACAAAAATGGAGTATACACTCCAGAAATGAATCCATGCAGCTACAACCAACAAATCTTTGACAAGCAATCCCTGGAGAAGGGAAAGTCTCTTTAACAAATGGTGCTTGAAAAATTGTATCTATGCATGTAAAAGTATAAAATAAGACCCCTACCTTACAACTTATACAAAAATCAACTCAGAGTGGATTAAGCATCTAAACTTATGACCTAATAGCATTAAATTTCCAGATCAAAACATCGAGGAATCTCTGAAAGACATGGGATAGGCAAAGACTTCTTGGAAAAGACCCCTGAAGCACAGGCACTCAAAGCAGAAATAGACAAATGTGATTACATCAAGCCAAGAAGCTTCTTCACTGCAAAGGAAGCACTCAACAATGTGAAGAAGCAATAGGAGAGAACATTTGCAAACTATGCAACTGATAAAGGATTAATATCTAAGATATGTAAAGAATTCAAGAAACTTAACAACACCAAAATAAACAATCCAGTTAAGAAATGGGCAAAGGGCCTGAACAGGAATTATTCAAAGGATGAAATACACATGGCCAACAGACACAGGAAAAAATGGTCAGGATCACTATCCATCAGGAAAATGCAAATAAAACCCACACCTCACACCAATTATAATGGCTATCACCCAAAAATAAAAAAAAATTATAAATGGTTATTTGCCTGCTCACTTTATGTTTACATCTCCCACATTCATACCAGTATACATCAGGTTTGCTTAACCATTGATTTCTTTTTTTTTTTTACCAAGTCTTATGATTATTTAATGTTTCTATAAATCTTTTGCTGTTAATATAAAACCTCCATTTTGAAAAATCTACGTTGTACAGAAGCACATGTCTTTAATGTCTTCAGACAAAAAAAGCCTTACAGTTAATTTAACGTTTGCACTCTGAGGTGCAGCTTAACAGGGAGGGCCTGAGAAAAGAATGGGAGGGGGCTATTAAATATTTTTAGTAAAATGTTGCCTTTGTCTTGTGCATAACATGTAGAATATGCTCTTTAATTTAGTAAATATTTTTTTAAGAGGTAGAGATGCTTTGTTATTGTAGCTTAAAATTCTTAATCATAAAATTTCTGAAATTCTTGTAATTTTTTCCATACTTATCAAAAGTTGTTTACCAACTTATTTTTGTTTGAAGTGTGATTTTTTTTTTCCTTCCCAACCTCTTGCAAAAAAAAGTGGGTTTCTGCTAATGAATTGAGCAGACATCTAATATTTTATATGCCTTTTGAACTGTGTAACTTAATATTTGAATACTTGATAATTTGTTTTATTATGTAATTGATAAAATGGTGATGTGTATTAATGTTAGTTCAACCATATATTTATACTGTCTGGGAATGTGTGGTTATAGTTCTGTGGGAGAATAATTTGTCAGCGTTCACCAGCTTGTAAAAACTTAGTGCGAGAGCTTAAACATCTAAATAAATAATGAAATGCAAAAAAAAAAAAAAAATTATAAATACTGGCAAGGATATGTGGGAAAAAGGTACCCAAATACACAATTGCTGGGAATGTAAACTAATACAACCATTAAGGAAGACAGTATGGAGATTGCTCAGAAATCTGAAAATAGATCTACCATACTGATCAGCCATCCCACTCCTGGGAATTTATCCAAAGGAAATGAAATCAGCATACGAAAGAGTTATCTGTACCCTCATATTTATTGCAGTCCAATTCATAATAGCTAAGAAACATAATCAACTCAGATGTCCATCAACTAATACTATATAAAGAAAATATGCTGTATATACACAATGGAAACCTCTCAGCCATAAAATAGAATGAGATCTTATCTTTTGCTACAAAATGGATGCAAATGGAAACCACTGAAATAGAGGGAATCCTCCCAATTTCTTTCTATGAAGCCAGCATCACCTTAATTCCTAAGCCTGAAAAAGATGCAACAGAGAAAGAGAATTACAGACCAATTTCCCTGATGAACATAGACACAAAAATCCTCAATAAAATTCTGGCCAATAGAATTCAACAACACATCAGAAAGATCATCCACCTAGATCAAGTGGGATTTATCCCTGGCATGCAGGGATGGTTCAATGTTTGCAAATCAATTAATGTGATACACCACATAAACAAACTGCAAAAGAAAAAACCATATGATTATCCCAATAGATGCAGAGAAAGCATTTGATAAAATATAACACCCTTTCATGATGAAAACGCTAAGCAAATTGGGTATAGAAGGAACATTCCTCAACACAATCAAGGCAATTTATGAAAAACACACAGGCAGCATCATACTGAAGGGAAAAAGTTGGAAGCATTTCCACTGAGATCTGGTACCAGACAAGGATACCCACTCTCACCACTGCTATTCAACATAGTACTGGAAGTTTAGCAGGAGCCATTAGGCAAGAAAAATAAATTAAAGGGATACAAATTGGGAAGGAAGAAGTCGAACACTCCCTCTTTTCAGATGATATGAGTTTTTATACTTTGTGTATCTGTGTGGATGCAAACTGTTGAAATATTTACTTACTATATACTAAGTTGATCTTCTGTATATAAAGATAATTGAAAATGGATCTTGATGAAGAATGGGATGGGAGAGGGAGTGGGAGATGGGATGGTTGTAAGTGGGAGGGAGGTTATGGGGGGAAAAGCCACTATAATCCAAAAGTTGTACTTTCAAAACCGTATTGGGACACTGTCTTCACAAAAGGCTAAATGTAACAAGACTTTATTATTGACTGAGTCCATATCAGTATAAAAAGTACAACAGAGACTCTTTTCACAATAGTCAACATTAAGCTCAGTCACTTAAATGAATCTGCCACATGCAAACATCAAGTTTTGTGCCATTAGGTTTCTCATTGCTCTTCCTGCTTTAATCTCTATCACTTATTCTGGAGAGCTGCACTGCCAACTGTTTTGACTTCTCAGGAATTTTCCCTTCATTTCATGTATCTTAGTCTAATCAGGATAGGAGCGATTACCAGACAGCTGATTTTGAAAACTTAGTACTTGGAAATATGTGGGAATAAAAGCTGGTATTCCACTGAAGCACCACATATATTGAATATTTATAATTAATCACATTGGAGGGGAATGGATTTCTTTATTAGTTGACTTACTCTGGTTTTGCTACTCTAGAACTGAGAATTCTACATGGAGATTATGGAAGAAATGAAACCATTTGTTTTCATAAAGAAGCAATTTACCATAATTTTATCTGTCAATGTATGTAATCTTGTGGAGTATAAAACACTACACAAATGAAAAACCTAGTTTTTTAAATAAACAAATATCCACTGTATTGCACTGAAAGAATAACAGAAGAGAGTCTATAAAATAAAAACGAAGGCAGGTGTAAAGTTTGGAAATAGTTTGTATTTGACTTGCCTCCATCTTAGGTGATAACTGGTAACGCCATGCTATTTTCATCTTAATATCAGATTCTGGTTTTTTATTACAAACATCTTCATCAAATTCTTTTTTACAGCTGTCATCCAGTAATGGTGCAGGAAGTTCCTAAGAAAACAGAATGATAGATTATTGAGCATCAGTGGTAAAATAATAACAATTTTTAAAAATCATAATATTAGCAACACTAGAAATTGCTAATGTATTGAAGAGAGATTCTTAAAATTGCCTTAAGCATAAAATCATGATAAAACAGGCATTCTAAAACAGAATAGAAGAGTATAATATCAAGTATAAAGTTTAATTTTTTTAGCAATGGCCTAGGATTTTAAAAAGATACTCAAATTTTTACATTTGGAAAAATCAACTGCTATCCCAACAAGAAGCTATGTTCATTTTATACACTTACAGAAAAATCTAGAATTAGCACTTACAAATTACATATAATTATTGTTATGTTAAAATAAAGGTAAAAATAAAGCTTGTGAGCAACCTTTTTACTGGTTTATAATTGTAGAATTCAAAAAAATCATTCACCGAAATAATGAGTGAATTAAGAACTAAAAATAGGACATTTATTTTGCCCATGTCGAATGTTAGTTTTGCACCTGCAAGCTCGTGCCTCTTTTTCAAAAATGAAAATAAAATTTTAAATCTCTGATTAAATGAAGAGACATCTAACTCCAATTTATTAATTTTAGAAGGTGACCGAATGAGTGATTACAAATAACACAGAAAACATTTTTGTTAAGAGGAACTATATAGAAATTCAAGGAAGAAGAATGAAAGTTTCCTGAAGAAGGAAGCACATGTAATTTTAAAAAAAAATTATCGGCTAGAATCATAAAGATAATGTGGGACACTGAGTTAGTAAACATAAACTTGTGCTACACTATAAATAAAACTCATGCAATTTTTCTTTTCAGGATCAAATTTACTTATACTTGCTATTGTGTGAATTAATAAGTTACTAGCTTGAATCCAGAAGCTAGAATGTTTTGGTACAAATCTAGACTTTGTACCAGTTAACTGTATGTCTGAGTTACCTGTCAGAGCACTCTGAATGGAGATAATAATATTCATGTCAATGTATTGTGGTAAAGAATAAAAAAATTAAAAGTGCAAAATGCAGACACATATTAAGCATCTAATAAAATTTTAGATAATGTGAAGTTAGTCAAATAATCATCTAATGCATTACATACAACTATATATTTTATATGTTAATATTAGGCAATATTTAACATAGAATATAATTAACATCTTTTACAATCTCAGAGACATTCAACAATATTTATGACAAATGCTATCCACAACTCAATTAGAAAATAAAAAACCACATGCGTGCAGGGGCCCAAGGATTTGGGCCATTTTGTACTTTCCCAGGCCATAGCAGAGAGCTGGGTCAGAAGAGGAGCAGCAGGGACTTAGAACTAGCACCCACTTGGGATGCCTGTGCTTCAGGCCAGGGCTTTAACCCGCTGAGCCACAGCTCTGGCCACTCACTGTGGTTTTGATTTGCATTTCCCTAATGGCTAGTGACCTGAACATTTTTTATGTGTCTATTGGCCATTTGGATTTCCTCTTTTAAAAAATGTCTGTTTAAGTCCTTGCCCCATCTCTTAAGTGGCTTGTTTGTTTTGTTGTTGTGGATTTTGTTGATCTCTTTGTAGATTCTGGTTATTAATCCTTTATCAGTTGCATAGTTCGCAAATATTTTCTTCCATTCTATCGGCTGCGTCTTCACTTTCCTGACTGCATCATTTGCTGTACAGAAACTTTATTAATTTATTTATTTACTTATTTATTGACAGGCAGAGTGGACAGTGAGAGAGAGACAGAGAGAAAGGTCTTCCTTTTCCGTTGGCTCACCCCACAATGGCTGCTGCGGCCGGCGCGCTGCAGCCAGCGCACCGCACTGATCCGAAGCCAGGAGCAGGTGCTTCTCTTGGTCTCCCATGCGGGTGCAGGGCCCAAGGATTTGGGCCATCCTCCACTGCACTCCCAGGCCATAGCAGAGAGCTGGACTGGAAAAGGAGCAACTGGGACAGAATCTGGCGCCCCGACCGGGACTAGAACCCGGGGTGCTGGCGCCGCAGGAGGAGGATTAGCCTATTGAGCCGCAGCATTGGCCAGAAACTTCTCAATTTAAAATAGTCCCATTTGTTAGTTTTGGCTTTGACTGCCTGTTACTCTGGGGTCTTTTCCAAGAACTCTCTGCCTATGCCAATGTCTTGTAGGGTTGGGCTTCTACAATATTCTCTAATAACTTGATAGTATTGGGTCATAGATTTAGGTCTTTAATCCATTTTGAATGGATTTTCATGTAATGTGTAAGGTAGGAGACCTACTTCATACTTCTGCATGTTGAAATCCAGTTTTCCCAGCAGTATTTGTTGAAGAGACTATCCCTACTCCAGAGATTGGTTTTAGCTCCTTTGTCAAATATAAATTGGTTGTAGATGCTTAGAGTGATTTATGGCATTTCTATTCTGTCCCATTGGTCTATTCATCTGTGTTTGTACCAGTACCAAGCTTTTTTGTTTATAACTGCCCTGTAGTATGTCTTGAAATCTGGTATTGCAATGCCTCTGTTTTGTTTTTCTTGTGTAAAATTCCTTTAGCTATTGGGATCACTTGTGTTTCCCTATGAATTTTAGCATCATTTTTTTTCTGTATCTGGGAAGAATGTCATTGTTATTTTGATTGGTATTACATTGAATCTGTAAATTGCCTTCAGTAGTACTGACATTTTGATGATAATGATTCTTCCAATCCATTAACATGGACATTTTTTCAATTTTTTTATCTTCTTCTGTTTCTTTCCTTAATGTTTTGTAATTCTCATCACAGAGACCTTTGACATTTTTAGTTAAATTTATTCCAAGTTATTTATTTATTTATTTATTTATTTTTGTAGCTATTGTGAATGAGATAGAGCTTAAAAGTTCTTTCTCAGCCATGGAACTGTTTGTGTATACAAAGGTTATTGATTTTTGTGTGTTAATTTTATATACCGCCACTTCACTAAAGTCTTTCATGAGTTCCCTCTCTCTCTTTTTTTTTTTTTTTTTTTGACAGGCAGAGTTAGACAGAGAGAGAGACAGAGAGACAGAGAGACAGAGAGAAAGGTCTTCCTTCTGTTGGTTCACCCCCCAAATGGCCACTATAGCCAGCGCACTGCGCCAATCCGAAGCCAGGAGCCAGTTGCTTCCTCCTGGTATTCCATGTGGGTGCAGGGACCAAGCACTTGGGCCATCCTCCACTGCCTTCCCGGGCCATAGCAGAGAGCTGGACTGGAAGAGGAGCAACCGGGACGAATCCAGCGCCCCGACCGGGACTAGAACCCGCGGTGCCAGCGTAGCAGGCGGAGGATTAGCCTAGTTATCCATGACACTGGCCCCAATTGTCTCTTAGTGGAGTCTTTTGGATCCCTTATATATAGAACCATGTCATCTGCAAATAGGGAAAGCTTGACTTCCTCCTTCCCAATTTGTATCCCTTTGATTTCCTTTTATTGCCTAATCGCTGTGGTTAAAACTTCCTGTGGGGAGCAATCCGGACTAGGCTGAGTTACTGGAATTAAGACTTATTCTATGCATATGCTCTCCCACAATATGGCACTGGGAGAGAAGTAAACAGCTTCCGCACAGCTGCCTCCAGTTCAACTAATAAACTGTAGGACTTGCTACTGATTGGAGGAGAGCAGCGTACTCGGCGTGTGGGCAGCCGAGTTAGGATTGGCAGAGGAGGACTATAAAGGAGGAGAGAGACGGCATGCACCAGGAACATCTATGGGGAACATCTGAGGGAAAACCCGTGCAGCCCCCGAGAGAACCGGCCGGCGGTGTGCCGCTCCCCTGCGGAAGTGGGGAATGTGGCAGGGGGAACTGCCCTTCCACGGAGGTGGAAGGGATAGTAGCCAACCCGGGAAGAACCAGCAGCAAACCCGGGGAGGGCCGAGCAGACGAAAGAACAGCGCAGGGTCCTGTGTTGCTCCTCCACGAAGAGGGGGAGCGACATAATGGTGCCGTGACTCGGATATGAAGCCTAGGCAGGGTTTAGTGTCATTCCTCCACGAAGAGGGGGAGCGACACTTCCAGGACTATATTGAATGGCAATGGTGAGAGAGGGCATCCCTTTCTGGTTCCAGATCTCAGTGGGAATGCTTCCAACTTTTCACCACTCAGTAGGATGCTGGCTGTGGGTTTGTCAAAAATTGCCTTGATTATGTTGAGGACTGTTCATTCTATATCTAATCTGCTTACAGTTTTCATCATGAAAGTGTGTTATATTTTATCAAATGCTTTCTCTGCTTCTAATGAGATACTCATGATTTTTGTTCTTCAGTTTGTTAATGTGGTGCATCACATTGGTTGATATTTTAGTGGCCATAATATTGTACTATATTGCTTAATCAAAATACAACTTATCATTTTCTATTTTAAATTATTTGCAAACTAAAAAATAGTACAACAGAGTTGTTTATACTGCAAGCATACTGTGCATCTCAAATTTTTTCCACAAGATACATAAAACATATATGAGAGAATAGACACTAATAGAACAAATATCTCAGTTGTTACCAGTTGATTTTAACAAATCTTAAGAATTGGCATACTTGAGTTTGGCACTGTGGTACAGCAGGTTAAAAGCCCTGGCTTGCAGCTTCAGCATCCCATACGGCCTTGGTTCAAGTCCCAGCTGCTCCACTTCCAATCCAGCTCTCTACTATGGCATGAGAAAGCAGTAGAAGATGGCCCAAATCCTTGGGCCCTGCACCTGTGTGGGAGACCTAGAAGAAGCTCCTGGCTTCAGATCAGCACAGCTCCAATCATTATGGCCATTTGGGGGAGTGAACCAGTGTATGAAAGTCTTTCTCTCTCTCTCTCTTTGCCTCTGCTATTCTATCACTTTGCCTTTCAAATAAATAAATAAATCTTAAAAAATTGGCATACGTAAAAAAAAAAAAAACAAAGCAACTTCATCGACAAAGGAGTAATACTTAAGTGAAAACAGAATACTATAAAAATTTTAAATGAAGCCACAGAACCCTTTAATCATATACTCTACCCTAAGAGCAGGATACTCCTCCTCCCCAACTTTAC